ACATACAGTTTAATTAGGTTTAAAAGCATGCATGTGGTAAAATGTAGTGCTGGGAATGCTAAGCTGAAAAGAACCATTGATGATATGACCTTGAAACTGGTGAGCAGCTATAGAATAGAGACACAAGATTTGTTTCCCTTTTCCACCTCGTGTAACACATCATGTACGCTGCGTGTTTTGGTTGATGTCAGTCTCCTTTGCCCTCCTGTCAGCCTACTGGTCACATAGTGCATAGTATATGTACAGTATCACTACTGAGCCGACAAACCTTGTCTGGAAGATAAGAAGGGCTCTTGTCTCGTTCTAAATCTACTCGTTACTGGTTGGAAGACTCGAGTGAGAAACCCCCACACACGAACAGATGGCTCCAGTGTTTGTGTCAGTGATATGAACTGAAAATGCACATAAAGCAACGAGCATTTCTAAAGTTAATTTTTATCTACGCAAATGTCAGCGCAACATGCATTGCAGCAAAAGCTGCTGGGTTAATTGGCAATGACTTGCATATTGCTTGAGCATAAGTTGTCAAACTCACCAGGGCCTCCCTTCCTCGATTTCCCTGCTTTTAACTTGTTTTGCTATCAACTTCCAGTCTCCTCCTCTCTCTCTCAGCTACATCTGTCTCAGCGTGAGCTTGTCGGTATAAAGAGGACAGCTTGTATATGCATTTGTGAGTGTGCTCTGTCTTCTTCCCTTACCCTGTCACTTTCCTCTTGCAATTACAAGCACGTATCCACTCACCTCCCCATCTCAAAACACACTCGGTCTCTCATACTTCGAGGTGGACCACCTCCTTGTATTGCCCGTAGGGCTGCAGATGTCTACTGCTCTTCTCTGTTTGCTTCTGTCTCTCCTCCCCTCGGTTAATCTGTCCATCCCTTTATTTCTCCCTCTTAGTCTTCCTGCCTCACTCTTCATCACCCCGTCTGCAGTCTCTCCCCACTCTCACTCTCCAGTTTCATTTGGTCTCATCTCCTCCTCCATCACCGCCTCCCACCTTCCCTCATTTCGATTACTTCCTTCATGTATCTCTAATCTTTCTATCGTTCCTCCCCTCCCCCTCTTCTCTAAGCCTCTCGTTATCGCTCCTCTCTCGTCTCCTCCCCTCGTGACAGGTACCATTCTTCACTCTGCTCCTAGCTTGGCTGGCTGGGCAGGGCGTGTATGTGTTTTCGTTACATTTGCCTTCTCCCTGAAACAGTCGCGCACACACTGATCTGGATGATATAATCCTACTCTCTTTAGGGCAGTTCAGGTTTGGATAGTTGCATTTCGAGCAAAGTACACAGATGCACACACACAATCCACCGGCATGCCACACACTCAAACGTGCCATTGTGCCACATTTCTGCTGCCAGGGGTGCGAAGTCACGCAGGACCACTTAGTGAGGACTGCACATTAGTTGAAGTGAGAAAGATGGACAGAAGGTGGAAGAGCAGTGTGAGAGAAAAGGAAGACGGAGGTGGTGGGAACAGAAAGAGCCGCTGGAGGTGGGTGAGGGTGGAACAGGGCTCGTGTCTCAGATGTGATAATGAGAGCTTTAATTTGGATTAATCGGCATTAATTCCTGATAAAAAGCATTTATGGGAGAGAGGCAGAAATGACAGGAGCTAATTTAATCTCCCTATTCAGTCTCCAAAGTAGCTTTGGGTAACAGAATGTAAAATATGTCCAGTGTAAATTATTTAGCACTGTATCTATACAACACTAACGGTAAACGTGTGCGTAGATGTTTATTTTTATGTTCAGCCTTGCCAAAGTGTGACTCGATGAATGGCAATGTCAGTAAGTGGGTCAGTTTCTCTGCCATCTCAGCTACTGAAAGGATCAACATGAACATTTACAGAGAAACTTCTGCTCCCCAGGACAAAGACTGTTAGTTTTTTCCTTTTTCTGTTTTAGTGACGCTCTGAAATTGAACGCAGGACCTTCAATTGATCAGATTTCTCTCTGCGCGTCTCAACATCTCAGAGCAGATTGTTACAAATTTTATATCCAATCTGGTCCCAGTATGTCTTTCCCAGAGGGAATCCAGCGACTCTCCTCAAGGTTTCTGGCTGAATAAGATGTAGATGTAACACGGTGCACTGTCAACCTTTTAGTGGGGCTTAACACCCGGATTCTTGGTCTTGTCAGGGGAAAAAGATAACAGCAGGCGTTTTCTACTGCAGTGCATTTTGTTCAGAGGCTCAAGAAGCTGATTACTTATGTCAGTCCAGTCAAAAGCTAAACTCCCCTCTAAAGTAGTGGCATAAAGACACCATCTTATCAGTAAGACGGAGAGCGATCAGCAGCCAAGAGTCTGAGCTCGGCTTCGCGCAGGAACAGAGGAAATCAGATTTTTCTAACCCGACCACAATGTGATTTTCCTCACTCCTCGTCTAAAAATATAGGAAAGCTCACACATCATATATAGCTCATACACCGCTGAAAATATGATTTCTCTTTTTCCCCGTGTGTGAGGCATCCGGAGAGAGTTGGAGGTGGGTGATTCATCAACAGAGATTGATAATGAGAGTAACACTCGTGATGTTACTGTGGATCAAGCAAAAAGAAATATTTGGCAGACGGACTAGAGACGAGAGGGATGGGAACGGGACCAAGTTGATTCATGAAGGAAGAGTAAAAATCCAACATGTTGGCTTTTAGTGTAAAGACAAAGGTCAAGATAGTGAGTGAGGGATGAAGTAAGAAGGCTGTTCTGTGAAGATGGGTAATAAAGATGGAAAGATGTAACACCTGCGCAGTGAAAGGAGGAGAAACATGAACTCCAGACGCAGAGAAAACTAAGCAACATTGAGCTTTGCTGTGTTTTGATCGATTTTAAGTAACTCAGCAGTATGCTTTTGTTTGACATCTCCACAGTTTGTATTAACAACCGGCTCAAATCTCTCAAGGTTTTTTGCAGTCGTTCATTGTGTAAAAGCAGGGTGTCATTATAGCCTCTACTCACAAACCCCGTCAACCTGAACTGCAGGTGTTGCTGAAGGGAGGTGCATTTCTTCTATCTTGTTTCTTGTCTCGCTTGCACTTGTCCTTTGAACATAGTCCAAATGGTTTTGGACTTTAGCAGGCATCCTGGGGCTGTTCTTGACACTTTGCTTCTGATTGCACAGAAACAAGTTTCAAAAGAACTGATCTGATCGTGTTGATGTTTGTTAAAATGCAGTTGCACAGTGGGAGGAACCGTTTGAGACACTTTCATTATTTTTGTCACTTAAGTATTGTTTTTTTTAACCAAAGATGTTATAATGCTGTATCAGGATTTGCTCTGTTGATCTGACAGTGTAGCTTAAATCGTTTATACTATATATGCTTCCACTGATGGCATTTTCTATTTTTACAGCAGTTTGACATGAAAAAAGTCAGTATTGCTATGTCTAAACACAAAAAGCGCTTACACACATTCTCGTTTTGCAATCTTAGTGAGGACATCTAGTTCACATAATGCTGCTTACCTTACCCCTAACCATCAAAAATGAATGCCTAACCAGAACTTAATTGTAACCCTGGCATTAAAACCACATTTTGAACCTGAAAATGCCTTCAAACTCGTGAGGACTGGTGTGCATGTCCTCTCTTGGTCCCCACAAGTATAGTAGAATGCCAGTTTCTGGTCCTCACAAAGATGCCTAAACAGTAACACGCACACACACACGGGGCTGTAGTTGTTGAAAGACTGAAGTGATCCCACGAGCTCAGATAGCCTAACAAGCACCCAAATCCCAGGAGGTTGTAGTAATCCCAGAGGGATGTGTGTGCTTTATTTCTTCCTCACAATAATTTGGTGTCGCTTCTTTGAGAAATAGGTGTCAAGGTCTTTGTTTGGGGATTCCTCAGGGAATGTCAGCTTACTCTAAATTTGTTCATCCATTTTTCTCTCCTTGCTCTCTCTCCTTTTGAGTGCTCTAATTGCCTTGGAAATAGACTTTGTGTAAAACGTGGACACGCTTCCTGCATGCGCTGCTCCTTCAGCTGTCAGTTCTTACATTTACAGACGATGCATCGGGGTTGAAAACAACCCCAAAAACCAAAATGTGAAAATGGTTTTTAAATTTAGAAGAGGTTAAATCTGGAAGGTGAAACTAACAGCATCTTTTCTGTTTTATTCCCCCTTGGCTCTCTCTTTCTAACAGATAATAAAATGTTAAGGACTGAGTACAAACCGTAGTGTTTGTTTATGAGATTGGAAGTTGGTGGGTCATATTAATTGACCCCTTTCTCACTTTAATGGTCCAAGCACCAGATGGAAGTCAACAGGAAACCCTTAAATTTGCGTCTCCAATCATTACAATAAGAGTAATGTGTGCAACTGATATTTGCACCAGTGTCCTGTTCAGTCTGAAGTGACTCTACCTATCACCATTATGCTAATAGGGATCGCTATTACCATAATGATATGCCATTATAAATAATGAAAGAGTGAATACGTGTGATTTTAATGAATGTTTTCTGCACCCTTTTTTCTTCCCTCCTCGTTTTCAGGTTCATTCTGTTTTCACGGAGCAGACCAAATCAGATGATTAAAGAGGCTGTGTCGATGTAAACATCTTTTCATTTCCCTTCCTCCGGGTCTCTCTGTGCTTAATCTTTGTAGACAGCATCTTCATTAAAACAAACACTCTGTGACCACTTCTCTTTTGCTGAAATCACCGCGGATGTGCAGAAATACCTGTGCTCTGCAGACGGGAGGACTTGGCGTGGAAGAATGCTGTAGCCTGACAGACAAACTGCAGCAACTTCTACTCTAACATTACCCAACTAAAAAGATGCTCGATTTTCTCTTAATACTTTATTTTTTTCTCTATAAATATGTGGATATATTTTTTTTTTTTTTCTGTCAGCTTAAAAGCCACAGTGAATAACAGCGGCTCTCCTTGTCCTAAGCAAACTGTGATAAGTATCCAACTGAAGGGTACATCAGGCTAATAGTAACTTTCTTTATCCAGAAATGGGTTTAACACTCCCAAAGTGCTCAGACTTTTTTCCTCTTTGCTAGGTGACTCCTTCCTCAAAGATCGTGGGTGACCTGGCCCAGTTCATGGTGCAGAACAACCTGACCAGAGCAGAGGTGGAGGAGAGAGCGGACGAGTTGTCCTTCCCCCTCTCTGTCGTCGAGTTCCTTCAGGGATACGTTGGGATACCACACGGAGGATTCCCTGAGCCGTTCAGATCTAAGGTACTCATATTGGAGTCTTTGTATATAATTCCAATAAGGATTTGTACAAAAGCATTCATTTATTTATTTAAAAACCATTTAACTTCCAATCTGCTGGAATAAATGGACACGGCTATTTAGATCACAAAATACTCGCTCAACATTTGTCCTTCACGGCCTTCACTTGTGCCTTTTTGTAACAAACACGGGCCAGAGAGCTTCATTAAAGGTGTTACACACATGCAAACACTAAAGTTGTGTTTCATGCTTTATCTCATCTGGCACAAGCTGAAAACAGTTTCTTTGCCTCTGCTCTTCTTCTCCTCACGAGTGCATACAGCGAGGGCGACCGCTATGCGCATCAGGGGGCCACCAGCATGACGTCTCCTTGGGAGTTACAAGAACACACAGAGGATTTAAAAAAATGTCACAATTTCCCCAATGTTTCTAACATAGTGGCTAGTTGACATTTCTGAAAAGTTTTTTTTTCAGTATTTCCTTTTCCATCTAATATATTGAGCAGTGTAAGTGTGTAGATGTACAGTTAAAGGGAATTTTTAATACTTTAATGTATTCCCCCACTGGTCAAGTCATTTTTAAAGCCTCAGTTCATAGCTTAGTTTTATCTTAAACGATCTGTTGGTTTGTTTTTGTCGTCATTTGGCTCCCGTCCTTCCCTTTCTTTGTTTGTTTGAAACATCGCTTGTCCTCCTGCCAATTTTCTTATTCCTCAACCATAATCAGATGTTTTTTATTTAGTTGTGATGGTATATTGGTGTGTCTTGTGTTTTTAAATACTTTGTCTGGTGAGTCATTACCATTTTAAAAAGCACAGATAGCTGCTGTGTTTGGTTTGTGGTTTTCTGTTCGGTCAGCATTCACGCTGCAAGATGCTAAAGTGTCACTGTTTTCTTTTTTCATGTAACTTGTTACTTAAGTGGATATTTGCATTCCAAATAATGCAAAAAAGTCACCAGACTTTTTTAAAAAACAACTATCAGAGCTGCAGGTTGCATCGTAGTGTGTACTCCGAGTAAATACTTCATACGAAATCCTCTCATCTCAGCCAGAACATCTGACTAAATCTCTCGATATTCAGACACCGACAGCCCGTCAGCACCGAGGGGCAGTTGAGCGCACAGCATAACTTCAGTCGTTCATTCAGTTAAATGATGACTACCACAGTTTACTTTTGCTTTGATTTCATTGTGTTTTAATTTGTGTGCTATTGTGTTTGCCTATGTCGACACGGAAGCCGCACAGCTGAGACCTAAATCTGATATTCACTCACACACACACCATGTATCAGCATGACTGATTTACATAACCTCGGCTCAGACGTGAAAAGACACGAGAGGAATTTTGTTTTAACGGAAAGAAAGTAAAACATTTATCACATTATCTTTAGAAAGCACAGCTAGCTTGTGACTACTTTGCCTTCAGTCATTGACCTTTAGTTGCTGCTGTGTCGCTCATCTTTATTAATGCATATAAGCACACACATGTATAACCCCAGCTGTACGCTGTAGCTTAAGGTTATATTCGTACGCTATCAGCAAAGAAGCAGCAGTGTTTCCTTAATGGTGCTTCGGTGGTGTTAATTAGCTGGTGAACAGGCGTTCCATAATTATATCACATTCATTCATTTCTCAAAGGCTGTCGCAAAGTTACTTTCATTCCTTTGAATCATAAAGTGGTAACTGAGTTGTTTCCTCGTCTGGTGCGGGTGGAAAAAACACAATGGACAAGGGAAAAAGATGGGGGACAAGGTGGGAATGTGGATTGTGAGACTGAGGAAAGAGAAGTGTATTAGACCATCAGAAATGAAACGAGCTAATGAAATGAGTGTCATTAAAAATGCAGCATATCCCTCAGAGGAGCATACTTGAAAAGAAAGGAAAGGGGAAAACTGAGTGCGTGTGATGTTTAGGATTTCCCACAGAAATGCGGAGAGTCACCAAATAACCTTGGAGGAAGTTTCCTTTATTTGTTAATGGAAACAGACACACACACGGAGTCACTGTCTGTGTCTCACACTTAAACAATCAAGCATTTAGGTGTGAGGCCATCCTCAGAGGAGACTGTGCTAATGAGCAGGGACTCCAGTGAACCTGCTATCTTTGAAGTGCCTTTCTCGCACACGCACAAATGAGTAAGCTATCTTTGAACGGTTAGCTCTGTGACTAATAGAATTGCACTGGGCCCTTTGTGTAGAGATTTCTGCAGGGTGCACACACACATGCTTGATGATGTTATGAAGATGCAAAGCAGCACACAAATTAGTAAACATAACAAATGTATACAGTTGTGGTAGAAAGTACGCCCTTTTTCAGTTCCAAGGTTTTACTTTTATCAGGATGCAATAAAAATCATCTGGTCCTCAGCAGGTCTTAAGTTAGGTCAGTATAACCTCAGATAAACTGTAAAACATAACTTATTTCACTGTTATTAACAAAATAAGCTGATAAACAAATACAATCAATGAACTGATCATCAGCAAGTGTGTGTGCACCTCTGCATGTATTATCACAATGCCAAGGAGGAAAGACCAAAAGCAACGACTTGGAGAAGCAACCGTTGCTGTCCATCAATTTGAGAAGGGTTGAAAGTTTCCAAACAATTTGATGTCCATCATTCTACAGTGAGAAAGATTATTCACGAGTGGAAAATATTCAAGACAGCTGCCAATCTTCCCAGGAGTGAACATCCCAGCAAATTCTCCCCTGAGGTCAGATTGTGCAACGCTCTGACCAGAAACTGCAAAAAAATACAAATATAACATCTCTGACTTTACAGTTGGCGTGTTAAGACTGAACAAGTATCACTTGTGTGGGAGGGTGGCTAGCCGGGAAGCCTCTTATCTAAAAAGAACATGGGTCTGCAAAGTTGCATCTCAACTAAAGCCACAATACTTCTGGAACAACGTCCTTTGGAGAGACGAGACCAAAGTGGAGGAAACGAAACAGCAGAGCAGCACAAACACCTCATAGCAACTATCAAGCAAGGTGGAGGAGGGGTCACCTCACCATGACCCCCTCTGTATATTGCAATATTGTGTGACGATCTTCTGACAACTAAAGCTTGTCTAAAACTGGACCAGGACAGTGAAATCTGTAACAGAATGGCCCAATCAAAGAACAGATCTCAAACTGATTGAAACCTTAACAGATGCACACAAACAACAATGACCTGAAGCAGCATTTGTAAGAAGAATGGGCCAGAATTCCTCCACAGCATGTGAGAAACTGATGAATTGCTTTGTGTACGACTTTAAGTTGTTGAAGGTGCTTCTATGACCTACTGAGTCATGGGATGTGCTTAGTTTTTCACACTATAACATAGACCACAAAGGTCAGCACCAAAGACAGGAGTGAAAACGCAAAGTCTTCCAGTAGCTTCCTCCTTTTGCATGTTTCAGGAGACAAAACAAGGGTTCCTACTCTTTACAGCAGCCTTTAGATGAATTGACACTTCTCAACATGATCTCCTCAGCGCACATTATTATTAGCCCCAGATCAATTGTCTCTTTCAGACACCAGCAACTGTGTGGGCAGATAAAATGTCATATCATTGGTCTTAAAGCAGTGTCTGTATATTGCTTCTGAACAGTTTCTTTGAATTGTCATTTATTTTTTTTGTCACGTGTAACGCTGCAGTCATGTTTGATGGGCTGATAGTAGCTTACTGGCTGAAATGAGGGAGATGGAGAGAACTAAAGTGGAATCCACCGCAGAGCTTGACATGACAGTGCTGCTGTTTTTATGTAAATGTAAAAAAAAAATAACTTAAGTTTCTATTCTCTGTTTCTACTGCTTCTCTCCTCCTTTGTGCCTCAAAGCATTCAGTGCATCTGTCTTCCTCTTCCTCTCACTCTGTGTCAATTTAGTGTTTTTGACAGGTTCAAGTTTTTATGTAAAGCTGTGAAGTACAATGTGAAGGTTTTACCATCACTTTAGATATTTCACATGCTTCCACCTCCCATGGGGACGTTATGAAGAAAATCCAGAAAGACTGTATGACTTTATAAAGTTTTAGTAAATAGTTTGTTCGCGACCCTCTTTTGCTGCGATTCTTATTTTTTCCCCTCTCATTTCATCTTCATTTCCTCCTTTTCCGTTTCAACATCCTATTTCAGGTGCTGAAGTCTCTTCCCCGCATTGACGGTCGACCTGGTGCCTCTCTGCCACCTATGGACTTCAAGTCTCTGGAAGAGGGCCTGCGAGCCACACACGGGGATGACATCACCCCTGAGGATGTGATGTCAGCAGCCATGTACCCCAAGGTGTTCCAGGAGTTTAAGGAGTTTACTGGTGAGTGGACCGACTGGAAATAAACTGTAGGGTTTATGAGACTTCTTTTTTTTCTGTTTCAATTTTTGTAATTTAACTGCTGTGTGAAATGTGTGTTTAATCACACTGCATTCGTGTGATTAAACAAGTCTTAGTTTGTGGTATGTTGTTCTCATTTGTGTTACTACTGGGGCTTGAAATTGGTACCAGCCAAACTTGGGTCAGGAACGCAGAGTATAAAGTTGACCCATTTGGTGCAAATATTTTTGTGTTTGGAGAGAGAAATCATCGTAATTCCAACTTGGTCTAAAGGCACAAGCTTGGAGCAAGAAATGACTAATGTAGCAAATTCAACAATAAAGGTTACATATGAATCAGATTTGACTGGAAGCAGTTTGAAGCTGCTGCCTGGATTGACCTGAGTTTAATTATTCTTTGTGGAGTTAGGACGTTGTTAGTTGTTAGTCTGGCGTTGGCTCTATGTGAAGGTTTTTAATTAATGTGCAGTTGTTCCTTCAATAGCGGGCTAGGCTCTATACAACCCTTAATCTAATGTGAACACTCATTCTTTTATGAGTGTTTCATATTTACAATATTTACCAAAACAAGCCATTTTTTAAAGCTGGATATTCTGCAGTTTCTCTTGTGTGGTGTGATGAAAATGAGCTATTATTTGGTGGGAGTTTAATAAAAGGCACATATCCGGGGCCTGTTCTCCATATCTAAATTTATGTTTTAGTCTAATCAAGCTGATAGGAGTTTGGCTTGATCCCAGATCATCCAGTGGATGTCAAGTCAATCCTACACGGCAGCAAGTTTAGTTAGGCAAACAAGATTAAATGATTAAACTGAAGCTGTGGGATTCTTCCTGGACAGCATTTCAGGGGGATTGATTGGACAAGTATCACAATCCTTTTTCCTTTCTGATTCTTTAACTTGAGAGATTAATTTAAGTTGGAGGGACCTGGTTGTGGCTAATTTGCCAACATCTGGGGGAAAATGTGGGATTTCCTCCGTCTGCCCATCAACAGTTGTGGATGAGTTGCAGTAATTACAGCGAGGGACCTGTGATGTGACGGAACATCTGATGAACTTAAAATCAAGTCACTGCTGCTGCACCATGTCAGGGGCTCAGAGGTGGAGATCCTGCCTTCATCGTGCTCTAAACAAATCAGGATAGAAGATCTTTGTTCTGTTGACCTGTAAAAATATAGCATATGGATTTAAAAAATAGTTCTTGAAAGTACAAAGGTGTTTGCATTTTTACTTTGTGACTGACTTTTATGACGCGTAAGCATAAAGGCATGATGTAATGCAGTTATTTCTATTTCTTTTTCACATTTTAGATCAGACGTTTTTTTCGATTTTATTTTTTTTAAACTCTCCTCTTTTCTTATTTCTGTTGAAGTTTTCACTGTCAGTGGGAATTATCTCAGTAAGTTCCTGATAGAATCATAGATTTGCTGGTCGTGGTTTCCAGTGTCGATATGTTTCCCATTTGAATGACCACAAGAGTACACCATCAGTTCAGATGATTGAATTCGGCCTGGATAATCTAATTCTCTTGTGGCTCTGAAGAACCATACCAGCGTTATCAAGATTACTGATCCTGGATCAGGGAGCTGATCTCTCAACTTTTTTAACTGATGTGCAGAGAACTGGCGCCGACACTGTTTCTAACAAAAACGGCACTTCCTGTTTTCTTTTTTCAGCCAACTTTGGCCCAGTGGATTGTCTCAGCACCAGGCTGTTCTTGGATGGACCCAAGATTGCAGAAGAGTTTGAGGTAAGTAACCACTTACACCATTCTCACTGTTTTTACATCACTAATCTAATTGTTTTTCCTGCCACGGCTTTGTTAGCTTGTTACGCTCACAATATCATCTCTAACATGCATGAATCACCACACGGACACGTAAACGAGGTTAAAAACTTCCCCCTATTAAAGCAGGATTTTAACTGAGTAAATGTTCTTGGATTCAGTTAGCTGATGAGAAATGACTTGACTTAAGTAGAGTTCATTCAATGAGTTGTTTTCAGCCTAATTCTTGTGCATTCAAAGCCAACCTTCATAGGATATTAAAGGATATTAAATAAATAAATGCTAACAATGCACAAAAACCCCTGCTGTCTGTGGACACCTCTTTTATCATTTGCTTTTTTTTTTGGAGGGGAGTGGGGTGAAGAAAAGTGCACGTTATTGTTAAGTAACTGTCACTAATTGTATCATAATACATTTAATCTTAATTCCTCTAATGGCCCAATTTTTATCTTTAATTAACTCTGATGTTTTAACAGTTTAATAAAGAAAAGACGTTATCTGCAGGAAATGATCTTTCCGTCAGTGCGGATGACTGAGGTTTGATTCGGTTTGGTGCAGTCGCAGTGAAGTGCTGATAACAGTGGGAGGACGGAGATATTAACAATTTACCAGGGGAACAACAAACAGGATTTCTGATCCCTGTGGCCAGCAGATTGGCCTTCCTGCACTGAAATAGCAGATTAATTTAGTTGTATGATGTTTGAGACGAGGCTTGTGAAAACTACTGGGACCAACATGTCGTGCCAAAAATTTTAACTGGTGCTGACTTATAAAGATTATAGTGTTCGCTTAATCTGCAGCAGAGAGGCAGCTGAACAGTGCAGTCAGAAGAAGCAAAACACATGAGTTGAATCATTTTGCATGTAAGTACAGGTAATAACTGGCTGTCACCTAGTTTCTGCCACTTTCATAATGTTACACGAGTAGAAGCAGCAGGATGGAGAAGAGTTTAAAC